CCGTGTGCTCCCCCTTCAACTCTGCCCAAGGACCACTGCCATACCACATTGGCTTCCTGTGTGCGCAGCCTGGCTATGGCTGTCACACTAGCTGCACCCTGCAGCTTCATCTCCCTGCGCCCGTGTGCGCCCTCTTTCAGCCAGCTCTCGTGCACGACGTGCGCTCTAACAGCGCTGCCGCACGAATGGTAACCCAGAATGTGTCTGGATCTATGTCGCCCACTTTCCTTTATGGAAAAGATGGCTGGCTGGCGAGGGTCTGGCCTGGCTGGGCTGGACGCGTGCAGTCCCAGTATTGAGTCCCAGGGCCCTTCCAGAATGTGCCTGGGGCTAAACTGTAAGGGTCCTGGGCCTCAGCATCTGAGGCTGTGCAGCATCTTCAACTGTCGGGCTCCACTGGGTGGTTGAAGATGCTGCTATGCCGCAACCAACCCACGGGGCCTTTCTGGAGCCTTTTTTTCGTACAACCACCTCGGGGCCCTGTTGTCCTCAAACTTGACAAAAATAGGCCAAAATGGAAATACAGGCCCACCTTTACTTAGGGGTGGCACAATGGGCCTCTGCAGCATTGCCATGGACTCAGATCCTTGCACTATGACTTCCCTGGCTGTCTCCGACCGCAGATACGGGCAGATTTTGGGCATAAAAAAAAGTGCAGAGTGAGAATGGCCTTAGACAACCTTGGGCATGCATACGTACATGGCTTTGGGTATCGCCATACGATGTGTTGTGGAAACTCCTGGTGAGCATTTGCCCTCAGACTGTTAGGGCCCTAACTCAGCTTTCCCTTTCTTTTTCCTTTTCTCTCTCATTTGTAATTGGTGGGCATGCCAGCCATATTACTAACAGTGTAACTCACACTGTCTAGGAAAGAGAGAGGAAGGGGTAGGGCATAACGAGTGATCAATCAGAAATCTTCACGTCACAGCAGTTCGAACGGGGTGTTTCCCAACAATAATTATCATCATTGAAAAGGAAAAATCTAGACCCTAATACTATCAGGGGGCCGATTGACATCATGAGGAGGCGGATGGACCATTCCCACCAATAACACTACCATACTGGAGGCGAAGTAAAAAGATTCAGAGGTCCAGTCCCAGAGCCCCATCTAGCATAGTCCCAACCATTAGGAGAATAGGCCCGTCCATACAATAACCGACAGCGCAGCTGTGCATGTAGCGGAAGTAGATAGGCAACAGGTTCCCACCAATAAAACTAGCATATTGGAAGCGAAGAGAAAAGACTTAGAAGTCCAGTCCCAGTTCCCCGTCCCAGACCCCATCTAACACGTCCAAACAGGTAGGAGAATGGGCCCGTCCATACAATGACCACAACGGCCGTGCATCGAGTGGGATAGGCGACATATGCCAGCGTGAAGGAAGACATTCAGAGAGAGTGAGGCCCGTTGCATAAAGAGAAAACGGGGGGGGGAGAGGGGGAGGAGAGAGAGATGCAATAACCCGCTCGATATGCCCCGGAGTGGCCCTAAGGCCGCACGCAGGCCGCAACCCTGGTCTGAGGCTGCAAAGGCCAAGGGGAGGAAACCCCCAAATTGGCCCAGGACCTGTGCACCCAACAGTTGACTTCGGCCAACTGCCCAGCGGCCCAAGAGTCAAAGTCTGCATTTACCCAGCCCAGGCCGCCGGTCAGACACACACACTTGTTTGTATGCAGGTACCAAGACAGCATTCGGACCAAGTGTAAGTCTGCAACTGTATGCGATCCAGGCCCTCGGCTGTGAGTCAATCTGAGCCACCGTGGGTGTGAGACCTGAGGCCGGACAGCCTCATCAAACACTACATAAGGCCCGGCCACTAGGGACTCAACATTCAGTCTTGCTATGCTGCTGTGACGCTGGCTTGACGCTGGCTGGACGCTGGCTGGACACTGGCACTGTGGACGTCAAGGCGAGACTGCTGCTGCACGCTGGCGCCTTCCTGCTCTGGTGCCAGCCTATGCTGACGTGGCGCAAGGCCACGCTGTCTTCTGCATTGCTGATGTGGCGCATGCCACTCTGTCCTCATTGCTGACATGGCATTTGCCACACTGTCTACATTGCTGGGTTGGACGCGACAAGGAGGGAACGAGATACTTACCTGATGTTGATGTCGATACTGTGCGCTGCTGAACATCTTCAACGTCTTCACGGGGGAACTGTGCCACGTGGCACTTCGATGTGGTCAGCATCTGTCCGGCTCGTTATTGGATACTGTCTTGCCGACGTGGAGGCGAGGGGAAGCCCGGAGGAGTGGGAAAATGTTGGGACAATTTGTGGTCATTGATGGCTACTATTTCTTCCACCTGCTAATCAGTCTAATCCCCCTCCACTCTCTTCGTCTATTGGAAACGAGACATTGTATCAGAGATCGCATTCATGTTTATTTGGAGACATTATCAGAACTGAGATGTCTTGTATTTTCAACATCCGGTGAGTATCTTCCAGACTGGGTTCATTACAATTTGGTATCAGAGCATACCTTCTTCGTCGCGATCTGCTGTCAGGCGCCACATGGCGCACAGGTAAGTGGAGGTGCCGCGGGTGGGAAGGAATCACGTCTATAGACGTGCGCGATTATTAGTGTGATCTAGACATTGACAGCCGCGCGCGTGCACACTCCCTTGACGATGATGACATGGACATTTTGAAGACGGCGACATTGCTTACGTGGCACTTTGTTGCTGACCTGGCAAACAGATAACGGCGAGAGTATCGTTGGCCGCAGGCTGATGTGGCGCTGGTGAAAGAGAGAGAGAGAGAGAGAGAGAGTGAGGTATCGGAACTGCTGATGTGGCACGCTGCTTACGTGGCATGATGCAGGGGTGCTGACATGGCATCCTAGAATTGGCAGGATATTGTTTGACATGGCACGTACCTGTGTCACAACTTACCTGCTGACATGGCGCTCCACATTCCAGCAGTACTTCCACCTGACGTGGCATACCAGTGGTGGATGAGTTGGCAGTTCGTGCATTGCTGATGTGGCATCCCTCCCGAAGGCCTTACTGGCCGTTGACGCTGACGTGGCAGACTCCGTGGAGCTGCTGTGTTGGCATTCCAGGGGTGACACATGGCAGACTTTGTGCGCTGTCATGGGTGAGGAAGTGATACTTGCACTTGTGTGCTGGCAGGCAGTACAGCTTTACGATTGGCTGTAGTGCCACGCGTCGGCCCTTGTGCCTCGCTGCATTGGCATTCGCAGTGTGACAGCCGGTAGAGGATGAGCTGCTGACGATTGATTGATTGATTGTTGTTGTTGGCTAATCATACTCACTTGTCTTGGCTGTTCTGTGGTTCTCTTGCATACTCACCTGTGTTGTTGTGTCTTGATCACACTGGCCGAGGCTGCGGTACCTGTGCATTCTCATTAGGACGTCATGACACATAGGACAGACAGCAGAAGTTAGAGATGGGAAAAAATTGAAATCTGTTCCTTAATTATTTTTGTTTATTTATTCCTTGCTGTATCAGATTGAAACCGGGTGTGGCTGTGGAATTTATTTATTGTCCTGTAATTATTTATTGTGCGGCAAACACATTTTGACAATGTCTTTCTTCTGCAATTCTTTGTGCCTTTCTGTCTTACCTCGCTTTATCCCTCTCTTCTTCTTCCCTGTCTCCTTCAATTTCTTCCCCGATGAAGAAAGTGCTGAATTGAAAACCTGTGGCCAAATCGCAGATAGACGGCAGGAGATGCTGGGCCGTCTCCATCAGTTGATCGCCAATCTACATGCTGCTGGAGTCGATGCTGAGCAGCACGTGCGCAGCCAGTTCGATCTGCAAGCAGCAGAAACCGAACGAGAGAAGGCTGAGGCGGCTGTTCAGGTGATGGAAGCCAGTACTCATGTACAGCAGACCATTATTCAGAGCCGACAGGCTCTGGATAAATGTGTGATTGGTCAACTGACGAAGATAACCAATAGCGGGGCCAAGAGAAAAGAAGAGGAGGGAGAAAGAAGTGAAGAGAAGAAAGAACCTGAATTGTCTGAAGAACTCATGTTGGGAAACATCAGGCAATTGGAAGAAGCCTTGAAAGAAGAAAGAAGGAAGGTGGAAGAGCACCAAAGAAGAAAAAGGGAGAGAGAACAGCAAGAAAGAAAAGTTGAGGAAATCAAACAAAAGTTTTATATTGAGGGAGCAGAATCCGACCTTGCATCCGTTCTGAACACGATGAT